AGAGACCCCTACTCACGCTATGCTTCCATAGTAGGACAGCATGAGAACAGGAAACAAAAAAACTCCTCTGCACAAAAAAGCACATAAATGTCCACAGCACAACATTGTGAAGACATGACAAGCCACAGGGGTGGGTGGGGGGTGAGGAGTAATCCGAAGCGAACACAGCAGCCGCCCTGCACAGCGCTACCATTCCAGCGCGGCACACAGACCCGCCGTGTTCCCTCGCAGGAAACAAGCATCGAAGGCGTTGGAAAGGGGGGGGGGATGAGTGTGTGCTTATCAGTGTAAGTGTATGTGTGTGTGTGTCCAGAGTTCAGCTGAGACAGTGTCCTTCGCCCCGCCAGGCTAAGTAAACAGTCTTCCAGCCAACCCAGGTGGCCTTGCATGGAATGGGAAGGAACAGTCTAAACACAGTCGTTATCAGGGAGTTGTTTGTTCGGCTCCAGCCTTGAGCCCACAGCTGGCGCCGGAGGGGTAGCCGCATTATGATGGCGATTTTCTTTTCCAACAACTCATGAGAATTTCGTGCTGTTTTTTAGTTGGATAGCTGCTAGTTCCTCCATGATGTTATTTACCTTCAGTTCCATGGTCTAGTCGCTCTTTTGCTCACAGAGCAGATTCTGAGACCTCACGACTGCAGCCAACTGATCCGTGATGTATTCCAACTTCCGCCCATAGGTGTTGATTTGAGCGGATTCTTCCCTGATGTATCCCAATATCCGCTCAGAGATGTTATTCTTTAGGTTTTAGACACAGACTGTGAAAGAGTGTTCCAGGGAAGTGAAAAAAAAACATGAGACAAGACAAGGACATAAGCAGCTAAGCAGGGAAGATAGGGGAAAGGAGGAGAGGAGAAAAGTGCGACCGCCTTCGCTCAGAGCCAAACGAGAAGGCCTGTCAAACCTGGCATAGAAGGTGTTGAGGCTGTCTGGTAGGGTGGTGTCTCGGGGGTCTGTGGTTGTTGTGGTTCCCCTGTAGTTTCTGACGTCTTGAATTCCCTGCCACATGCTGCATGTGCTGTTGTTCAGGTAGTAGCCTTCAAGTTTTTCTGAGTGGCCCCTCTTTGCTGCGCTGATGGACTTCTGCAGTTCACAGCGGGCGGCTCTCTTATACACCCCCTGCTCTCCTGCCTTGAAGGTCTCCCTCCTCTCCCTGATTTTCTGTTTAATGTCTCCATTAAACCGGGGGTTTTGGTTGGGGAATCTACGCACAGTCCTGTTAAACACTAGTTTATGTAGTCGCTAACAGTCTCTGTGTATTCACGGATGTTGTTAGCTGTTCCTTTGAAGATGCTCCAGTCTGTAGCTTCTAAACAGCCCTAAAGGCTGGCTTTTACACTGTCAGTTCAGGTGTTAATAGTGACTGGGTTTGTCTTGAGCTTTTTGTTGTAGATGGGTTTTAGCCATGTCATGTGGTCAGACTTTCCGAAATGAGGTTTTGGTTCAGCTGAGAAGGCATTTATGATGTTGCTGTAACAGTGATCCAGTATTTTATTTCCCCAGTTTGGTTACAAACTGATGCAGTTTAGGCATGTTTTCCTGGAGATTACAGTGATTAAAGTCTCCCAGAACAATTACAGCAGCGTTTGGGTGTTTATTTTCATGCTTGTTGATCATGTCGTGCAGCTCCTTCAGTGCAGCCTCCTCCTTAGCGGACGGGGGGATGTACACGACACTCACAATGATGCACTGCAGTTTTCTGGGCAAATAAAAAGGCCTTAACCTTAGAGTCAGAAATTCCTTATCTTGCCGTTGTCCGTAGTGCTTTGTCCGCTCTGAAGACCGTGTAGCCCTCTGGTCTTGTTGGCAGAGGGCTACAAGGGGGAGAGGGTGTCCTCTCCCCCAGCCAGGTTTCACAGAAACGCAGTATGGAGCAATCCTGAATGTCTTTTTGTGTGGAAATATGATCATGGAATTTGTTCATTTTATTTTCCAAAGACTGAACGTTTGCAAGCAGTAGGGCCGGGAGTGTTAGCCTTCCTTTGCTAACCAAGCGCCGGAGCCTTCGATCAGCTCCTCCCCGTCTCCCGCATCTCCGCTTTGGCTTGTTGTCACCAGGAGAGTCCCCTGCCTTGGGAGGGCGTAGCGTAGGGTCAGCAGAGCATGTCTCCAAAAGTTGATGTATTGTTTATAAGATTGGGGAAACCTCCAGTCAGCGGAGACTGAAGAAGTCACTTGGATGAGTGACGAAACGTTTCTTCCACTGAAAACGCCACGTCCAGGTGAACAGAATCAACTTTTGAAAATTTACTTACCTGGATGACTGAGCATGCATCAAGACATAAGCATAGCATGTTAGCTCAGGGTGGGATTCCAGCATGATTGGGTCGAAAAGTCCGAAATTACTGTGCTCTCTCAGTTTTAGCAGGGTCGCCCGAATGTAGAAAGCTTTTGCAGTGTGTGTGTCTTAGCTCTCTCGTCCCCTCTCGCTCTGTCATGCTCTCTTGCCCTCTCAGTTCCTTGCTCCCTCGCTCTCTCTCCCTGCCTCCCAGTATCTTTTCTCCCTTAACTGTTTTTCGTGTTCCCCTCTTTGTGTCTCCTCCCATTGTCTCCCAGGTCTGTCTTGTTTCCCCGAGTCTTCTTTCCTCCTGGCTTCTGTGTCATGTTGTGTGAATTAGTTGATGTCTTAGTGTTTCCTGTTTTACTGTGACAGTGTTGAATCCTGTGTTCATTGTGTTTAGTTTTGCGTCCTCTGTGTCTGATTGTGTTTGATTAGTCCCAGCTGTGTTTCCCTCATGTTTCTCATTCCCTCATTATTCTTTGTGCATTTAAACTATCTGTTTCCCACTGCCCATTGTCACGATCTCTCTCCTTCCTGTCTGTGTGTTTTGTTTTTTAGTTCAATCCAGTTCAGTTTATGTATGTGTACATCCAGCACTAAAGCTGAAGTTCAGTCCTGGCTGCAAGTCTGCATTTTGGGTCCAATCCCACCTGCCACATACAGCTGTTCATGACCTTCCTTTTTTTTAAATTTTTATATATTTAATTTTTGCTTTTAAAATTAAACACAACATGCTTATACAGATTCAATTGTGAACAATTACTACAGTTGGCATTTGTGAACTTATAAGCATGAAGAAAAGAAAAAGGAGAGAGAAAAAATAATTTATAACAATATTAACTAAATAAAAAATAAAATAAAAATAAAATAAGAAAATTCACGCGGGGTGTGAGGCATGAGTTATGATCAATTAGTTTTTAAGAATTCTAGAAATGGCTGCCAAATCATACAAAAACTCTCCAGTTTCCCTTTTCTATCAAATCTTATCTGTTCCACCCTGGCCACAGACACCATCTCATTAAGCCACCCTTTAAAACACAGGGCTGAAGAAGACCGCCACTGTAAAAGAATACGTTTTCTTGCAGCCAGCATACCCATTGTAATTATCTGTTTCTGTGAAGAGAAAAAGGATTTGATTGATGCAAATGATCCAAGTATAGCCAATGTACCATCAAGTGGTACTTTTTTCCTAAATTGGTTTGAAAACCACGTAAAAATCTGCCTCCAATAAGCTTTCATGACAGGGCAATGCCAAAATAGATGTGCAAGGGAACCTTCACAGATATTACATCTATCACATAAGGGGGATACAGAATTATAGATCCGGTTAAGTTTAAGTTTAGAAAAGTGTAATCTGTGAATGACTTTAAACTGGATTAGTTTATATCTGGCATTTATTGAGCCTTTCTGAATATTGGACAAACAGTTTGACCATTGGTCCTAAGACAGAGGGACACCGAAGTCTTCAGCCCATGTATTCTTAATTGGATCGGAATCAACTGGAATTGTAAAGCACTTGACAAACTGAGATATCAGATGTTTAAAATCTGCTTTCAGAATTATATCAAAGTAAGTATGACTTAGTGGCTTCAGTGGAAAGTCTGAAAAGTTTCATTCAACAAAATTCCTTATTTGAAGATAACGAAAAAAATGTGATTGAGGTGACTGAAATTTTTGTTGGAGTTGAAGGAAAGACACAAATTCATCATCTATGTATAAGTCCTCAATACGTTTCAATCCCTTTCCCCCCAATTCTAAAAACACCCTATTGATTTTACCTGGTTTAAACAAATGGGTATGTATTAGTGGCATTCTTACTGAAAAGTCAGGTAGCTTAAGAGATTTCCTAATTTGACTTAATATCTTTAAGGAGTGTTTAACAACAAAATTATGACTGATCGAATTATTAGAAGAACCAGTGTTAGAAAACAATAAGACCGGTAATGAGGCTTCAGATACTGTTGCTGCCTCTACCTGAAGCCAGATCGGAAGCTTATCATAACAGTAATCAGTAGGCGAACCCCACTGCCAGTGCAATAGAGCTCTTGAATTTGCCGCCCAGTAATAATGTCTAAACACAGGGAGACCCAACCCCCCACTGGAAGTATTTTTTTTGAAGATGAGCCATGGATATCCAAGGGGTTTTTCCTGCCCAAATAAATGAAAGAATCAATGAATCAAGCTTCTTAAAAAATTTAAGTGGCAAATAAAAAGGAAGGTTTTGAAAAAGGTATAAAAATCGTGGCAGAGACACCATTCTAACGGCATTTATTCGACCATTCAAAGACAGAGGAAGCATGACCTTCTTTACCTGATACTGGGTGTCAAGTCAAACCAAGTTTAGGGGGTGTTGAGCCTGGAGTGAAATAAATGACAAAATTAAATGCATGGCAGGTGGAACTAATCTTCAGTGTGTTTTTCTGTTTGGAAAGAAAATAGAATGAGAACAATGGGATAACAGGAAGTTGCTACTTACAGAGAAGAAACTTGCTTGCTAAAGAATTGCGGCTGCTGCTATCTTAGTTAGCATTATTTTTGTGCCGTTATTCAGCTGCCCCTTTACAAGTGGCTCCATTGTTCAGTGTTGATCTGCGTATGCAAGACTGTTGAAGTCTGTATACGGTTAAGTGAGGAAAAAGCTGGTTGAAAGACGTTATTGTCCACTAGTGAATTTGAAATAAAATCATTTTCTTTTCTTTCTCACTCAGAGTGCAGACATGTCTGCTGCCAGCTGTCTTCTATCTGAAGATCGGTTTCTGTGCTCCATCTGTCAGGATGTCTTCACTGATCCAGTCTCCACACCATGTGGACACAACTTCTGCAAAAACTGCATCAGTCAACACTGGGATATCAGTGAGAGGTTTGAGTGCCCCATGTGTAAAAAGGTGTTCTACACAAAAACTGAGCTGCACATCAACAGTTTCATCTCTGAGATGGTTTCTCAGTTCAGACTTGAAACTCAGCAGAAATCCACCAGCAGCAGCAGCTCAGAGCAACAAGCTGCCAAACCAGGAGAAGTTCCCTGTGACATCTGCACTGGAACCAAACTGAAGGCTCTGAAGTCCTGCCTGGTGTGTCTGGCCTCCTACTGTCAGACTCACCTGGAGCCTCATCTGACAATGAAAGGTCTGAAAAGACATCAGCTGATCGATCCTGAGGAGAACCTGGAAGGCAGGATGTGTATGAAACATGATCAACCTCTGGAGCTGTTCTGTAAGACCGATCAGACATGTGTCTGCATGCTCTGCTCTGTTATAGACCACAAGACTCATGAGTTTGTTCCTCTGAGAGAAGAATATGAAGGAAAGAAGGCAGAGCTGGG